ACTGTGACGATAAAATGGAGAAGGGGAAACCAATGTGTGTCCCCCTAACCTTCTTGGAGCAAGGTTAGGGGAAAAAACCTGTGTACTAATCAGGGCTCTTTTTGTAGAAAAAGCCCAGCAGGAACTCATTAGCATAATAGGCCACACCCAACAGCAGGAACTCATTAGCATATTGGGCCACACCCCTGACAGCGCAGCTCATTAGCACATTAGGCCACACCCCCATGTTACCAGAAGTGTGGTCATCCAGCCACACCCACCTTTTGCTTGTTATTCTGTTTACCTTGTTTGTTGTCAAAACCTAGGACTTTTTTTGTAGCAGGGACTCCTTTGCATGTTAGGCCACACCCCCTAATGTAGCCAATCCTAATGAGCTCCTGCTGTTGGGTGTGGCCTGTTATGCTAATGAGTTCCTGCTGGGCGTGGCCAACTCGGGAGCCAGCCGGAACTCCGTTCCTGTGCGTTCCTGCCCCAAAATAGCCCTGGTACTTATTTAGATAATTATAGCAGTCTTTCTCCTCATTGGGGACCAGAAATGGCTTTACAACATCATTCTCCCCTTTTTCATTTTCTCCTCACAACAACCAACGCTGTGAGGTACGTTAGGCTAAAAAAGCGTGATCGACATAAGCTCCCTTGGCAGGGCAGTGATTCAAACCTGGGTCTCCCAGAACCTGCTCTGACAACCACACCGTGCTGGTGTACTAACAGATAAATTGATGCATTGAGATTTGAACCAGGGACTTTACCGTGGGCTGCGGGAGAATATAGCTTAGAAAGTATGAGTCTGATCTTGCAGAATGAGCAGGTTCCAAGGAAGGCCATGAGTAGTTAGGCAGAGAGGCCATTCCAGGCGTGGGGGAGCAGTCTGGCAGGAGAGGCAATGAGCCAGGAGTGGCAAGTCAGTAGAAAATAGGGGTGGCGGGAGAGGAGATGTGCAAATTGGCTAACTTGGGAGCATTTTAGGGTAATAATAGTAATTAATCATTATTATCATATGACAGTGGGTGTAGTATAGCCAGGAGATCCAAAGATTGTCTGGCAGCCTGAAACTCTAGCTCTTTTGGTGGTGAGGTAGGTTTGTTTTTTGGGCTGAGAGAACTGTGACCGGCCCAAGGTCACCCAGCTGGCTTCAAGTGGAGGAGTGGGGAATCGAACCCGGTTCTCCAGATTAGATTCTGCTGCTCTTAACCACTACACCAAACTGGCTCTCTAGCATTTTAGGGTACTAGCTAAGAATGACAAGAATTCATTCAAAGAACTGCCAGCCACGCTCAGTTAGGAGCCCTGTTCCACATGTTACAGTGAACTCATATACAATTTGCATGTGTATATGTACATCTGAAGGAGCTGTGGTGGCTCAAGTGGTTAAGACGCTGAACTGGAGGCTGTGGAAGGTCAGTAGTTCAGCAGTTTGAGACCCGGGTGCCGCATGACGGAGTGAGCTTCCGTCTCTAGTTCCAGCTCCTGCCAACCTAGCAGTTTGAAAGCAAGACATTGCAAGTAGATAAATAGGTACCACTTCAGTGGGAAGGTAACAGCGTTCCGTGTGCCTTGGTGTTTAGTCATGCCGGCCACATGACTACGGAAACGTCTTCGGACAGTGCTGGCTCTTCGGCTTTGAAATGGAGATGAGCACTGCAACCCTAGAGTTGGATTCGACTGGCTTTCGAGCAAGGGAACCTTTACCCATGTACATCTGACAGTATGAAAGAGCCAATGCACAGTCACTCGACCAATGAAACCGGGCACTAGTACATGGATAAATGCAGGGCTTAAACGTTCAGCTGTTCGTGCATTGAATGTAACATGAGAAGACTGAACGCACATATAAAGAAAAATCCGTTTGCACTGATTGTACATGCGTTCACCTGTGAACAGGATTATTGGGAGAAGCCAGTTGACCATTTCAGACTGGGCAGGTGTGTTTGGCCCTGACCTGGATAGCTCAGGCTAGCCCAATCCCACCAGATCTCAGAAACTAAGCAGGGTCAGCCTTGGGTAGCATTTAGATGGGAGACCTCCAAGGAAGTTCAGGGTCATGACGCAGAGGCAGGCAATGGCAACCCACCTCTGAATGTCTTGTGCTTTGAAAACCCTGCAGAGTCACCATAAGTCAGTTGCAACTTGACAGCACTTTCCACCACCACTGGGCATGTTTGGGTAAGAGGGGATCGGGGAGGCGATTCCACAGTCCTTAAAAACGGCACTGCTGCTAGCCCTCCCCGAGAACCATGCACAAATAGCCCTTCTGTCAAGTTCAGCCTGCCTGGCCTACAGCACTGCCTTTCCCTTGTTTTGTCTGCTCTTGGTTCCCTTCACTGTGCACCCTGTCAGTCCTCAGCTTTGCCTCCCATGAATGAGGAGATGAAGAACGTGAGTCTCCTGGGCAGAGACTGTGTTGCTTTGTTCTGTGCAGCGCCCTGGCCTGCTGTTGGACAGGGGAAAATGCTGAGTCCTGACAGAAGCTGCAAACGCGGCTGGCTTGAAGCCAGGCCGGCCCCTGTGCCTGCCCAAGTGGTTACTGCCCTTTTAAAATCTTGCTTGCCCTTTGAAATGGTGACGGAAGCCACGCACACGTATTATTGCTGCGATGATGTCTGTGAAGTGTTTTGAATCCCTAAAAGTGCTATACAAATGTAAACTGCTCCACCAAGTTCATGGAGCTGGCAAACTGTGGCTTGCATTCTGAGTGTTCCAGTGAAGCTTGGTTTTGAATCCAGATCCAGAAGGTCTATATCCACTGACTACGCCTTGCCCTCTGAGGGAGGGAGCCGCACAGAGTATGGACGAAGCTTGGGGTTGCCAGCTCCGGGTGGGGAAATTCTTGGAGATTTTGGGAGTGGAGTAAGGTTGCCAAGTCGATCTTCTTCCAAAGCGGGGGGCTCCTGCCCGGCGTCTGGAGTGCACATGCACCGCATGCATGTCACCCGGCAGTGACGTGACGCCGCCGGGCACGCTGGGGGCAGAGTCACGGCCATCCGAGGGAAAACCATAGAGTTTTCCCTTGGATGCCCGTGGCCCCGCCCCCAGCGTGCCCGGCGTTGTCACGTCACTGCTGGGTGACGTGCACGTCGGGGTGGAGTTCCCCCCCGGGGCCCTGATCCGCTGGCGGCAGGGAACGGGCCTCTGGGGTGGGGTTTTCCCCGCCCCCCCAGGGGGACTTGGCAAGGCTAGAGTGGAGCTTGGGGAGGGCAAGTTCTGGGGAGGGGAGGGGCCTCAGTGAGGTATAATAACATAGGGTTTTATCTCCCAAAGCAGCCATTATCCCCAGGGGAACTGATTTCCATAACATGACCAGTTGTTATTCTAGAAGATCTCCAGCCCCCACCTGGCAGCTGGCCACCCTAACTATGCTTCTAGGGTTGCCAGATCCCCCCCCCATGGGATGTGGGGACCCTGCCCCCCAGCAGCTGGCCAGCAGGGGGGACTTACCACCAGTAGAAAAAAAGAGGCCTAGGCCACATTGCTGGCGTCACACAGGAAGTGAAGTCATACCAGCGACTTCTGGGCGATGCTGTGGTATTTGGGCAGAAACTCTATGGAAAAAGCTTGTTTTCCTTAGAGTTTTTGGCCAAATACCAGTGTCAACTGGAAGTCGCTGGCATGATGATGTCACTTCCTGTGCAACGCCAGCAATGTGGCCTAGACTTTCTTCTTTCTAATGGCAAGTCCACCCCATCCCTCACCAGTTGCCAGAAGGGGCCTGGCAGCCGTATATGCTTTTATTGTCTTCCTCAGGATCAGACTAAATGAGATGGCCTCCTCGTGGCCACCATGAGGACGCCATCACATTTATTTTGACTTCCTGCTGTGTTTGGGTGGAAGACTACGGGCAGGAATTGTTTCTACACAATGAACAGCTGGATTGGCAACCCGGGTCAGGCTGAATTTGAGCCTACATGAGGAAGTAGGGAAGGTGTTGTTCTAGGAAGTCAGTTGCCCCAAAGAAGGGAAAGGAAGCAAAAGGGAGGGTGGAGTTGGGATGGTTTCTGGCAGCTCTAGTTCCCTAACCGGTTGAGCCTCATGCCTGTTCTGTGACTATGCTTACTTTCCCTATCCACCCAAAAACTTAATCTCGAGCTCTCGCCTCCTCTGACTCTTCTTCCTCTGGAACATCTCAGTTCTGTGCTGGAGCCAATATTTTTGCTTGGAGGGGTGGCAGCAAGAATTTAATACTTACTATCGTTAGCATCTCTTGATTCCATAATTTGCATCCGTAGTAAGTTGGCAGCAGGTGTCTACGTGTGTCCTCAAGTCACCTGCTCCCAGGAGTCCTTGCTGTGAGGGTGTCTCCCCTGCCACCAGCCCTTTCCTCCAATGCAGCCTTTCTGTGATGGAGAACCCCAGAGTTCCAGGTCACTGTGTCTCTTGCCATCTACCTCTGGGGGGGCCGAGATTCAGTCTCTGCCCATAGACCAGGGCTATTTTTGGGCAGGAACGCACAGGAACGGAGTTCCGGCTGGCTTCCAAGTTGGCCACACCCAACAGCAGGAACTCATTAGGATTGGCTACATTAGGGGTGTGTGGCCTAACATGCAAAGGAGTTCCTGCTCCAAAAAAGCCCTGGGTTTGGACAACAAACAAGGTAAACAGAAGTAAGAAGCAAAAGGTGGGTGTGGCTGGATGAGCACACTTCTGGTAACATGGGGGAGTGGCCTAATATGCCAATGAGCTGCACTGTCAGGGGTGTGGCCTAATAGGCTAACGAGTTTCTGCTGTTGGGTGTGGCCTATTATGCTAATGAGTTCCTGCTGGGCTTTTTCTACAAAAAAGCCCTGCCATGGACTACCACCTTCTCCCAAAACTACTCAGGAATTTGGGTTGCCCTTTGCTTTCCATGTCCACCCATGTTCTTGGAACCACCAGTTTCCACTTACCTGCATCCTCTTACTGTTCCATTCCCTGTGTTCCGCTACAATTTCTTCACTCTCCTCCCAGAGAACTCTTGAGGTTCCAGTTCTGTATGATGTTTGATGGACATTTCTCATTCTCTGCAGGACCAGGGGCTAAATTCCCCTCACCACTGCCTGTTCCTTCCTGAGGAGTCCCCGGTGGGGGGGCCCTCCCCACCCAACTTGGCATGATGATGTGCGAAGTGATGCCGACCATCAATGAGGACAACCGCCGCGGCTCGGCCTACGGGGCCGACGATGCAAACTTTGAGCAGCTCATGGTCAACATGCTGAACGAGCGTGAGAGGTTACTGGAGACGCTGCGCGACACACAGGAGAGCCTGTCCACCTCACAGCTCCGCCTACGCGAACTGGGCCATGAGAAGGAGTCCCTCCAGCGTCAGCTCAACATTGCCCTCCCGCAGGTCAGGATCGGGGACAGTGGGGAGGGGCTAACATGTTGTGGGGCTGTCGGTCTGAACTTGATAGCTGTGACAGGTCTGAGGTGCATTTTCCGTTGTGTGGAGAGCTTGCCTTCCAGAGGAGATTGGTTGTTCACCTGGCACAACTTTCAAACTGCATCAGAGAAAGACCATGTTTGCATTGCTCCTCAGCGGGTGTGAATTGCTTTGTCCTCAGTGGCTACATGCGGGTGGCAGCAAGACAGGGAAAGTAATTAAATAATTGAAATGCGGAATTCGCTGCCAGAGGATGTAGTGATGGCATAGACAGCTTTAAAGGGGAATTAGACTTTAAAAGGGGAATTCATGGAGGATAGGTCAGTCAGTGGCCTTGGGGGAACTTCCACATTCAGAGGCAGTCAACCTCTGAATCCCTGTGCTAGGAGGTAACATCAGGAGAAGGTCTTGGCACTGTCATTGGCTCTCTGAAGGAACTGGTCGGCCACTGTGTGAGACAGGATGCTGGACTAGATGGAACACTGGTCTGATCAAAGCTCTTATGTTCTTAAGGGGAAAGGGGAATTTCTGGATTGTGAGGAAGCAGTCTCAGTTGCTGTGTCATGCTGTGCTTTTGCACATGTACAGTGGAGGAAAGGGAGAAGAGCAGGGGTGCAGGCCAGCGGCAGCAGCGGACAAAGCAGGATCAGGTGTGTGTGTGTGTGGACACGGTTCTCACCTGTTCTCACCCTGCTTGCTGCTGCTGCTGCTGCAGCCAGGTCTGTTTTTCATGCCCCTGTGTAGATGCATCCCTCGACTACCGGTTGATAGCCATGTGTCCCAAGAGTGGTGTTCTTGTTCCCCTCCGTGCTGGGGCAAATGCATAATTGGTGGGGTTATTTTTATCCTATGGGGAAGAGGTTAAGCTTCCCCATTGCCCCAGCAACACAGCCGCAATCAACCCTCTTCCCTGGCTGTTTTTAAATGATATTGAAGACGTCAGGAGACCTGATCATGGGCCTCTTGCATCTCATTTAGTTGCACCTTTAGACTGGTGTTAAATGAGAGGGGGGGGGGGCTTAGGTGTCACAGTTGTCATGTAGAATGAATGAGACTAATGTCGTCTTGTTTGTTTTGCATGGTAATTTTTGACACCAAAGCAGAAATGGGACTGTAACAAACCAGGTCATCTGAGTGTTAACCTCAACTGCAGCATTTGTCGGATCTCCCTTCCGCCGGCCCGCTTCCCCCGGATTTCATGCTCACCAACGTGAGAAGAAACCTTATTACTCACAAATCACAAGTTATTTTTAATATCCTTTAGACACTGACAACTTATAAATTGAGATATATGCTATAGACGTAGGAGGCGGAATTGTGTGGAATCTTGTATGGCTTTTAAATGCTGGTGTGACGTCTTGGGGGGGGGAGAGCTGGCCCCTCAAGATTTCACAGAGCCAGGGGGCAGGGAGAACTAAGAATGCCCAGTTAGAGGACGAAGTTGAGCAGGGAGGGGACACAATGGCTTTATTGCCTCTAACCTCTTATCTTGCATAGATGCTACATTTTGGGAGATGGTGAAATGCTCCCGGCCCCAGTAGTGGGAGACACACTTTTCCTTTGCTGTCCATTCCTGAACAAGCGAAGTTTTTGTGGTGCATTCTGGAAGTATATGCTGACGTCCAAAACTAGGGTGGAAACCCAAAACATCAAAGTTTGAGTCCAATGGCAACTTTAAGACCAACAAAGTTTTATTCTGGGTATAAGCTTTCATTTGCACGCACATTTCTTCAGATACATTGAAGAAGGGTGTGTGCATATGAAAGCTTCTACCCAGAAGAAAACTGTGTTGTTCTTAAAGGTGCCACTGGATTCAAACTTTGTTCTGCTGCTTCAGACCAACACGCCTACCCACCTGATTCTGTGATAGAAGTGTGTGTTCGGTGACTGTCATGGGCACCTTTTGGGTAGTGTCCATGCCCTCAGTGCTGATATTAATTTTTTTCTTCTTGCCTTTGTAATTGTGGAATAATTTTAAAAGGTGTTTCTTAAGGTCGCCAGCTTCAATCAGTGAAAACCTGAGTGAGTTAATATGAATGGACAACTTTGAATTCTGGGGATACAGCTAAGAGTTGAAAGTATGAGGTTGTTTTGTTTCTGGCATGTTACTGTAATAAAATGAAAACATCTAAGATGGACTTTCCATCCAACAAGGAGCAGTAGCTTTAGGGCCTAACGACACATGGGAAATTTCGGAGCAGATCTACCGAAATTTTCTTTAAAATTAAAAAGCAGTGATTGGGCCTACCAGTTTCTGTTGGGGTACTAGGGGAAAGGATCAAAAATGCTCTACATCACCACCACCACCAGGCCAACATCCTGGATCCAAATCCTCCCCTGGACTGCTTTCTTTCAATGTAAAAGAAAATGCTGAATGATCCAATCATGGATCACCCGCATAACAAACGGTTTGTTCCTGATTTAACACAATTTAGTACTTTCCCATTTCCTTCAGAATGGAACTGATCCTGAAATGGTATTAATGTACAAATGGATTAGATGCAAATCAGTGGATGAACGGATAATTCCTTAAAGCCGTAGTATTTTTGTATATAGGACAAAGGAGAAAGCGTACACATTCTTTTTTTAAAGTTTATTTTTTAAGAAAAGCAGGCAAGCTCTCTCTCAGTGCTACAAGCACCATCCACCCCCACTGCAGCAAGGCTCTTCTCTCTTATCTGTTCAAAGCCACCATGAGTCCTGGTTTTTTGGGGGGAGAAAGATGGTTGAAAGGTGCCATCCTGCCCTTCTTCCAAAGAGGTCAGGGCAGTCCTGTGAGGTGGGCTAGACAAAGTCAGATTGACTGGTCCAAAATCACCCAGGATGCATCCAGAAGTCACTTCTGCGGGCTATAGCCAGCCAGCCAGCCTTTTCACTGTATCTTTCCCAGTTCTCCTCCTTATTACAGCCCCAGTCCCTGCTTGGACCCATGCAGGTCCATGATCATCATCATAGCCTTTTGGGGAGACTAAAGGCAACTCCCTCTTCCCTTTTACACCAGTAAAAAAGCTGGGTGGAGCTAACACCAAGTTTATTGCTAGGTTCATATGCATGCCTTCCATTCCCTTCACTCTTCACTCAGAGCACAATGAAGGAATCCTGGTTTAAAACCAGTTCTGGTTGCCTGTGGTAAATGAATGCAGGCACACAGCTTAACTGGGGTTAGTTTTCTCCCACGAACTAGGATTTTAACCTTCATTAAATCCTGGTTGAGAATCCTAGTTTCTGGGCAGAAAATGAACTCCAGAGAAGCTATGTCTGTATTTGGACATCAGACTTAATTTTAAACCAGGATTCTTGCATTTTGCTCTGTGCAAGGTAGGGAAAAAGGGGCCTGCACATGAGGAACATGGCCCTGGCAACAAGCTGGATGTGTATACATTCACACTTAATGTTGGCTTGATGTGGAGTCTGAAGTCACCTCAGTGAATTCCATGGAAAATTAGTGATTTGAACTGGGGTCTACCGTGGTCTCAGGGTTCAGACAGACATTGGGAATTCTGTGATCAGAGTTTCCAGTGTAATTTTTTTCTCTAAAAATCAGGCATATGAGGGCTTGTTTTCGATGGCAACCATAGTGTGAGGAAAGCAAGTTCTTAAATCTCCTCATTTGTGCCATTTTCCCAATCCCAAATGGCCCCGAGAAGCCAGTATTTGGCTTCTTGGGGAAACCTGTTGTCGGTACTGGTATTTCCTCCCAACAGGACAAATAGTGACTCTCTGGGGCAATTTCAGGCTTGAAAAATGGTACAGGAAAGGGAGCTGAAACCCCATCTTCCCTTCATTCCACAGTCCAAATCATGGCCCCCTTGCTTTGATTTTTAGAGAAAAAAAGACACTGGAGTCTCTGTTCACAGAACACCCAGCATCACATCTGCCTGAGGCCTTCTATGTGTTAAACAGTGTCAATCAGTCATTCCTGAGTGATTCATGAAAGTCGGGTAGTAGTAAGTCACCTGGTGGTTGCTGGTGGGCCTGGCCCTGGTGAGTCCTCCCTCAAAGGCCAAAAGAGCCCTCCCCTGCCTTTTGCTGACAGAGACCAAGGCTTCAAATGACAGTAGTATTGTAGTTGCCTAGCAACAGCCACAGAGGATATTTGTTTCTTAAAGTTACAGTTGCTGCTTCTATTATGGGAGGGGGTTAACCCTCCAGTGTATTTCTATTAGATTTCTCTTTCTTTCTTTCTTTCTTTCTTTCTTTCTTTCTTTCTTTCTTTCTTTCTTTCTTTCTTTCCCTGTGTCTTTTCTCAGGCGTGCAGTAAGATCTGTCTTGTCTGTTTGTGACTGCAGTCTCTGGTTTTAAGTATCTACACATTCAGCCACATTGAGAATTAGACATATTGATCCCTTTAAATTACCTGAGTCTGTTGAGTTGTCTTTCTGCACTACTTGAAGTTTTGTTTTAGGGATTAGCATTTAACAGCGGTACGCCTCATTCCACCACCTCATTCAGCTGCATATGTTGAACGCCCAGCCTTATTTGTACACCTGTACTACCTTGGATATAATCATCACGCTGTGCTGTATTTTAAAAATGAAACAGTTCTATCTTGGGCCCATAGTCATGATGGAACCATTCCAATTTCTAAAGAAACCACCCACTTTACTGGAACATGGGGCCGGCACCATGGGGGAACAGTGCTCAAAAGAGCCAGAGGTGGCATATCGAAGAGCAGCATGTGGTTCCAGAGTCACTGAGTGAGCATCAGCACTGTAGGTCTAAGGAGGATGTTGCTGCCTGTATCCCCAACAAGTGCTCGTTTGTGAGGCCCTGTATGAGTCTGTGTACCCACTCATGTCTGCGTAGCACCTCTGGGAACAAAGCAGTGTACAGTCTGAAGTTATTAGTAAGATCTGCTGTGACATATTATGCGGGTTAGAAGACTGAGGGGCAATTTGCTAGAAGGTTGCAGAGTCCCAGGCCCAATCCGCATCTAGCATTTGCTCCACTGTTTTACCAAACCCATG